CTATTACAATATTCCCACGCGTAGTCCGGATTGTTCGGAGGTTGTTCCATGTCCCTGAGATGTGTTTCTACAAAACCGTATACCATCGGCCTCTCTTCCATTAGCTGTTCTTCTATCTCTTCCCACTTCAGCCTGTTCCTACCACCCTGCATGTTAATATACCCTATGTCTGAATGGGCTCGGCGCTCGTGGCTACGTCTATTTATGCCCCGGACCCTACCCATCTTAGACATTGGTGCCACTTTGGAATCGTATCTGTCCATAACACCTGTCGAAGAGTCTCCCTGGTTGTTTTCCTCGTTACTAGCTATCCTGCACCCCGAAGGGCTCGCTAGCTCCCCAAAAAAGCTACTGCGCGTCCTGCAAGTCTCCACCCCACCTCATGACCTAGCCGCCCATCGAAGTGAATTCGCTACAAGTAGTGATCACTGCCCCCTTGTATTTGAAGTCAGCATTCCTTTAGTGACGGTAGATCGCCAGGTGCAAAGTTTTGTAAACTACTCTAAATTTAAAAAGAATTTACAGTCAACGCTGTCTTCCTTACTCAATATGGAAGCAAATATGAAAGCTATGAGCCTTTTTTCCACCCTAAAGTGTGCAATTGAAAAATGACAGTTCACTATATCCTCAACAAAGGGAAATTTATACCTGTCTGGTGGAATGTGGATTGTGCCAGAGATTATAGACGCCGCAACGCTGCATGGAAAAAAACTCCTTACCATACAATGCCCGACTAATAGGAGAAATTATTTATTTGCTAAAGCTACCTTTAAGAGAACAGTGTCATTAGCGAAAGACGATTATGAAGGAAAATGGTACAGCTATCTATCCAAGAGCGGCAACAAGAAAGCTCTATTCAGATTTCTCCGTAATTGTAAAGCTATCACAGCACACGTAAATATTGACTCAGTTATTTTTTCTCCAACTGAGTTGGAAGATAAATAACTGAAATTGCATTAGAATTGGAGAAGAGATTTACATCACAAATCAAAATAAAGTGTGCAAAACCGTCATTCGGAAATGAGTTTATTGAAGTAAGTAGCGATGAACTTGTGCACGTCGTTCGTAATCTGTCAAACACAGGTCCTGGACCAGATGGCGTCACTTCAGAAATGTTAAAAATATTATTCGACATCTCTCCTGAAGACCTCCTTAACGTTGTCAACTATTCACATGAAAATAGTTGGATACCTCCTCACTAGAGACTTGCAAAAATAATACCGCTTCTTAAAAAACAGGGACTAGGAATGCAGATAGATAACATTACGCCAATCGTTTTATCATCGCATGTAGTTAAGTTATTAGAAAGAATACTTTACATTAGAGCTACGAAGTTCATAACAGATAATGCGATACTCATTGCGTGCCAGATTGGATGTAAACCAGGTTACTCTATATGGTGGAAGCATGTTGACTTAGAGGCTCGTATAAAGCTTGCTCGGCACAGACTACAATATGCGGCCCTAGTAACCCTTGATTTAGCCAAGGCATCTGACAGTGTTGAACATCCTATTCTTATCAATGCCCTAAAAGAGCTTATGTTCCCGCAGTACATAACAAATTGGATATACGAATTTTTAAAAAAACAGAAAATTTTATTGCTCCCAACGAGGTGTTTCCCCACCGATGTATAGCCAAACTAGAGGCGTTCCTCAAGGCTCTGTTCTCTTCCATGTGCTAGTTAACATTTTGTTAAGTTCAGTACCACTGAGTGATAAGGTACAAGTATATGCAGATAATATCGCGGTCTTTGCATCTGACAGTGATATTTAATACATTCGACTTTACAGTGTTATTTAGCAACATTGGAAACCTGGTTTCAGAAAATTCATATGAAACAGAACGTAACTTGAAGTGCTATAATAGTTTTTTCATTGAACGCACCAGTTACTACTTCTCTTCAGTACCATCAAGAAATAATTCCCCAGGTTAACTGTATTAAATAACTGGGTGTACTGTACGATCAAAAACTGAGCTGGCGTGACCACATTGAATATATTAAAATTAAGGCTACACGTGCTGTTGGAATGATAGGTAGGCTTGGCCGCCTCCGTACCGGTCTGCGCAGAGATACCCTGATCATGATTTATCGCATGTACGTTCGTCCGATTCTTGAATTCGGATGTGTACTAGTCTCTGGTGGACCAGCATACAAAATAAACCCCCTGATTCTCTGAGAGCGGGAAGCTCTACGTAGTTGTTTAGGTGTGCCAAAATTCACAGCTAATAATGTTTTGTATCAAGAAGCTCGGATACCCATCCTTGCTTGCAGATTTCGTATTTTAACAGTAAAAATCTATTTAAAATTTTTTGAATCCACTTTAAGAAGGCGACAGTTCGTATTCTTTGCCGAGCCTGGTGTCTTTTTTAATGAGCATTGGTCCCGTGTATATAAATCCCAAGTGCTAGTTGTTCAAACACTTCTAGGTGCTTTAAATGTTAATATATTCGAGATCACACCATCTGTCAAACCAATCGGCCAAGTGCAAATAAAATTAGACGATATCTTCCCCATGAACGCTAAACACTTGCCTACTAAAAATTTGATTGGTTTATTAGAACAACACCTGTCTCAATTAGGTACTAATATAGTAATTGCAACGGATGCATCTATGAGTGGCGAGAAGGCAGGTGTGGATATTTTTTCTCTCTCATTATTCTGGTCATTTTCATTACGCCTCTCAGATTATACACCAATATTTGAAGCGGAAAAATGGCTGTTATACTAACTATTCGTAAATTTTCTGCGACTCATTCGATAGCTGTGATAGTGTCTGACTCGTATTCCGTGTCTTCATTTTTATCATCGTCGTCGACATCAGCAGTACTAGAAACTTTTAAATCATTAATCCCAGCAAACATTTGTCTAGTGCGAATGATATAGGTGCCCAGGCCATTGTAGTATAGTTATAAACGAGATGGCTGACACACTTGCGCGAACATCTCTTGATCTTCCGATTGTGCCAATCATGCCTCCTACAGTTTATGTAACAGCAGTGAGATTTAGAAAACTTTCCCTTCTTGAAGACTCATCAAAAATCATGATACCGAATCCAGATTTCTCGCACCTCCACTTGACATGGAATAATAAGTGGTGTCCCATGCGTAAATTGGGAGTCTTGATAACAAAACTACGTTGCCGTTTACCACCTCTTAATTTCTACTTAAACAGGTCTGGTCTGGTGCCATCCCCTCTGTGCTTAAGCTGTAACGACCCTGAACATATCGACCATTTTCTTATGACATGTCACCGTTTCAAAAATCAAAGAAAAAACTGCTTCAAAATTTTATTCGGAAAACTAGGAATATCACCTAATACTCCCAATATTTTGTCTTTTGGGGTCACTTCATTGGGACACAGCGACAGGAACATCTGCGGGGCTCTCTCCGAATTCATATATAACACAAGAAGATTACCTTGCTGAGTCAGCGATCAGCTCTCGAATTTTACTAACCACACTACCACTTATTATTTAGCTGATACACTGCAATAACTCAACTTTCAGGAGAATTTTATATAACGATTACACCTCAGACATTCAACAAATTCTATTATTTCTCTGCCCCCCCCCCTTTTTTTTACATTGCGCCAAGATAATTTCACAATCAAAACACAGATATCATATTTCTCTAGTATAGAAAACCTAAAGGTATTGACTTGCATTAACCACCGGCTTCTTGGCCAATCCCCCCTAGTGGGTGAGAGCCACAAAAGAAAGGAACAAGCAAGCAAGCAAGCAAGCTAGCAAGCAGGCTCTACGACGCGACTTCAGCATTCGAACATTTGTTTCCGGGTAAGCATTCGTTGTTCTCTCTCTGGCTTTTTGCAATTGCTTAGAAAAATGCCTCATTTTCCTCGTAGTCAAATTATATAAACGGCACTGCCAATTTGGGTCTGTGCGGGCGCGTAAGGTGTTTGTTGCCTACAGGCAAGACCAGGCACTATGCTGTGTTTCTCATCCCGCTGAGGTTGCGCTGTGCAATTTTGTCTGGTAGCGCGCTCCTCTGCCTGCACTGCTTCCATTATCGCTGCACCATCTCACGCAGGACACGTAGACAAAGCAACGATTGCGAAGAATGGACCCGGGTTCATTTTATGGAAAGTTTGCTGCGAAAGTGCCCCCTGACTACAGTGATGACCCTGACCTGGTTTCATCGAGCGACAAAGAGCCTGAAAACGCTGTTTTAGCCCGGACAAGTAAATATTTATTTTGTCGTGTCAGTCGGAACTACGCTATCATTCGATTAACGAATAAAGTACGGTCTCTCGCAAAATAAAGCGCAGCGGGATGGAGGTGAAGGAAGGGGTTATTGTATTACAAAAGGCTGTGTGGCCCGGCGCTTCCACTTGAGGCTGTCCGCATCTCTCATGGCAGACGCTTGTAGGTGTTCCCATGTTCGGCAGCTCTGCGTGAGACGCTTATAGTCTGGCATTCCGTTTACGCTTTGCAGCAGGCTGGCTTTGTGTGTTTCGAACGGTGTCATTGTTCAGGCCAGCTAGTGAAACAGTTTTCCGCAACTTTTTTATTTAGCATAGAATATATTTTACTGAACACAGACAGCACTGATGAAATTTATGAGAGTAATTACTATTATTATATTTAATGGGCTTTTTCTTGCACTTTGTTGACATCACAACCATTTTCTGTGGAATTTTTACAGCACCGCCAGCTGACAGTGAGGATGAAGAGGTCTCAGGAGCTCCAAGCACGGCCAGTATTGACAATGCGCTTGAAGAAATCCCCTAGCCTTCGAAGGATTCTCCCACATGGAAGGCTGTCCGAGGCTCCTCGAGTAATGCCATCCTTGAGTGGAAAGACGTACCACCCTACCCATCCCCGGTGGAGTCTCCCATCACCTATTCGAGAAACTTCTTTGACGTGACATTCTTGTTTCACATCTGTGAGCAGTCCTCCCTGTATAGCGCTCAGAGGAATCCGCACAAAGTTGCTTCAATGACAGTCAATAATTTAGAGCAGTTCATCCGTACAGTGCTCACTATGTCGCTTATGAAGCTGCCTCATACACGCATGTACAGGTCGCAGAGGTTCCGAGTCAGTCAAGTCGCCGACACCATGACGAGAGACAGGTGGGAAGAAATCAAGCAGTCGCTGCATTTTATTGACAACCAGGAAGCACCAGACCAGAAGGACCCCGAACGTGGCAGGCTTTACAAAGTGCGGCCCCTGTTGGACCACCTGATCGCCAAATGCCGCGAGATACTAAAATCTCAAAAGCTATGCGTTGGTGAGCAGCTGGTGCCGTTCAAAGGCCGCTGCTCATTGAAGCAGTATTTGCCCAACAAGCCCAAAAAATGGGGTTATAAGCTTTTCCTTCTCTGCGATGAACGCGGCATAATGAACAACTTTGAAGTTCACACAGGCAAAATTTTTCCTCAGCAAGGTTTTCCCGACATCGGCGCAAGTGGCAACATCGTCCTGCGAATGGCGAGTATCGTGCCCCGCGGTCTAGACTACATCTTGTATTTTGACAACTGGTTTTGCGGCATGGACTTGCAAGTAGTCCTCAAGAAGGTTGGAATCAGTTCCGTAGGGACAGTACGCGAGGCTCGCCTAAAAGGATGCAAACTTCCATCCGACAAAGATCTGAAGAAGAAAGGACGTGGCTCTTACGTGAAAATGGCGACTACATTGGAAGGGGTGAGCCTGAGGGCTGTCAAGTGGTTTGACAACCGCCCCGTGACTTCACTGTCTACGTTTGCTTCAGATTCACCTGAGCAGGCCGTGAAGCGCTTTGACAAGAAGACTCGAACGACTGTGAGCATACCCCGCCCTGCTATTGTCGGCATCTACAATGAATGCATGGGAGGTGTTTATCTTATGGAAATGCGTGTGGCACTCTACCGCATCCACGTAAGGTCAAAAAAGTGGTACAGGAGTCTCTTTTTTCATTTATTAGATGTAGTAGTTGTCAACTGCTGGCTCCTCTACCGCCGAGATGCTAGCGCGGCTAACGTGCTTTGCTAGCACCAAATGACCCTGCTAACATTCAAAGCAGACATTGCCTGCACGCTGAGGCAAGAGGGAAAGGTATCAACACCTTCGAGGAAGCGACCATTGGACCCATCAAAAGTCGAGAATGAATTGCAGGCGAAGAAGCGCCGCGGGCCATCAGCTCCTGTTCCATGCAAGGAGATAAGGCTCGACACTATTGACCATCTGCCGATGTTTTCTGCAACGAAAGACTATTGTAAATGCCCAAACTGCACAGGAATCACGCGAGTCATGTGAAGGAAGTGCAACGTACACCTCTGTTTTACTCCAGGAAAGGAGTGCATGCACAAATTCCACACTAACCCTTAAGAAGCACGCAGTGAAGCCTACCTTATGGCTCGTGCCTAGTGTTGCCCACAGGCAACAAAGCTGTATTTTAGAAACTATATGCAGAACTTTTTTCTTTTTATGAAATATGCTTAGTCTTGTTGCAACAATTGTAAATATGTAGAAAATAAATGTTTTCTGCAAGCATTTTATTGTCTCGTCAATAAAGGGTTAAGGTTGGGAAAAGCAGGTATGTCTTCAAGCGGTCTACCTCAACAATGTTGTGTTCCCCCCGACGATGGTCACCGAGCGGCGTAAGTATTCAATGACGTAATTGATCGGTGACGCGTTTTAAACAACGTGGTTGGAACAATGGTAATCTGAGACCAGTTCCACAGACAAACCAGGGGCACAGCGTACAGGGGCACAGCCAGGGGCACAGCCGTACAAGTATTCCGGGTATGAATTTTGCTGCAGTGGGGTGTTCTTTGTCGCACGCTTTTATATAGCGTTGTTCGTCAGACATGGTAAACTGCTGGGCTAGTTGGCTGGATTCTCCAGCACGACAGACGGCTTCTGGCACAGTCCTGCACTCACACTTTTCCGGTGCAAATAAACTAGAGCACGCCTATCTCGCACCCTGGCTCAGAGGCTGCCGACGCCTACTCTTGCACCCAGACGGCCATCTCGTTTTGAACTACTAGAGCATGTGCATAAAGTTTCTCACAAAAATACCGAGAGGAAAATGCAGCGCCATGTCTATGCAGAATTTTTAAAGGGTCACTCACCAGGCCCCATACCGAATTTCAATTAGACAGTGTGAGTTGTTGGGTGTCTGATGAGGAATATTTTGCCACAAAGATGTTTTGAATCGGTTCATCACCAGTAGACGAAGGGGATTTTTTTAAGCGGCGTGGAACGACGATGTGAGGAGGCAAGCTCGGAACCCTTGCCGCTTTTCCGCGTAGCCTTCGGAAGCCAAATCTCTTCTACCCTTTTCTCTCAGGCATCCGACCAAGAGGTCACGTGTGCATGACGTGCCCAAACAACTCCAACCCCTGAGAGTAGAGTTTCCTAATATACACTAGAGGGAACCATAGCGCTAGTGTCTATGGGAGCTGCAACGCACGGCACTTCAGCGAGCATGGGTGATGGGTAGTACACACATTTGTCAAATATTCGTACTTCTGGCCTGCTTTTGGCTCCGTGTGTGTTCGTGTGTATTGGAACTGTTTTCTTACGAAACAAATAATAGCGAATGTTCACCGCTTGCGCTTCATCATTTTATTCTTTTAAACTTACCTTTGTTAATCGGGTCACAAAGTTTAAAAGGGTTGAATCTTTCTTTCAAAACAAAACCGAAACACAGCAATAAACGAAGCCGCAAATACGAAGACTAGGCAAATGTGTGTACTACCCATCATTCCCATGGTCCCTGAACGATCGCAGAGCCAGAATGTCCCCTAGTTAATTTTAGTAAACTCTATGCCCCTGAGCACGCTAGCGGCGTTCCTCAGGGGCATAGTGAGTGCACAGTGAAACGAGCACAGTGAGAGCGCGAACGCGTAGGAGCGTTCCACGGTGTTCGTCTGCTTGGTGCGCTGACCACGGGTACACGAACGCAAGCAAAACGCCGACACATCAGCCCCGCATCTCGTTGCGATTCACGGGAGAAAATGAAAACAAAAATGGCACCATAACCACGGTGTGAATGATGCAGAGTGGGGCGAAGCATTCGTCCGTCCATTTATTCTTGCCTCCGTCCGTCCATGCGTCGATCTGTGTGGCCGTCCATGCGTCCATTCGCTCATCTGTGTGTGATTCTGTTCGTTCGTCCGTCCCTGCGTTCGTCCATGCATCCGCCCTGCTTCTGTTCATGCGTCCATCCATACATCTGTCTGTGTGTCCGTTCATCCATCTATTCAACACTCCTAGTACTACCATCTCGCATCCTTTCATCATATATTCCCCATTAGAAGCACCGCCATCCAGCGGACGTTCCAAGGACTAAACGAGAGGTGGCACACGCACACTTTCTTACGGCTTGCGCTTCGGGTCTACTTCTCACCATTAACCACCTCGAGTTCATGGTATATACTAGTTCACTGTTTTCATGGCAGTGCGGCCCAACACTCTCTAAACCTTTCTAAAACCAAGGACGTTGCACCTAGCGAGTATGACGTAGCAACCTTTTCCTCTCAGATAGTGCTCAATTTACATGCCAATGCCACTAATGGGAAGTAAGAGACAGCAGAATTCGGCTTTTACTTTCTGATGGCTTGCGCTTCGTACCTACTTCCCACCTTTAACCACCTCGAGTTCATGATATATACTGGTTCATTGTATTCATGGGGCTGCGGCTTAACGCTGGGGAACCAAGTGAGGCGGTGTTTTCCGTCAAAACAGTATTAACACACCTAATTCCTAAAGGGAGAAGGAAATGTTACGATGAGATGCTACAACATAGTCAAATTTTGCCAACTTTTTCGCTATGGTGGTTTTGCTTGTAGGTTCTTTGCGGTGCTGGTCACCTATGCGACGTTTTTGTCTTGCAAGGAGGGAAGCGCTGCACAGGGGCCCCATAGTACTACATATCTTGTTCATACATTTATTCTGCTGTGAATTGTTGATGCAGGTACGGATTAAAACAAGCAAACCGTTTTTGGGCTGCAAGTCAATTTCGTTCGAAAAGGGTATATCATCACCGCTGCTCTGTCGAAGCTGTCGCCAGCCGATGAGTGTGACGAATTGTTCTTGGTTTTTAAGTTCTTCCGCTCTGAAACGCCAAAAAAACTTTTTCCCGCTTTTGTAACAGATAAACCTGATTAGCCTTGGTAATGAAAACTTGGAAGTTGCACCTATAGCGGCTGTAAAACGCTAAATGAAAACGCACCTTTACAAAGGTAATTGAATAGTTACTGGACATTAATAGATTAGGGTTTGCTGAATATATGTTTTGGTGTTTGGCAGCTATAGCCCAATTTAACGCTTATGTATGTATCCTCGTTGCTGCTTGGTACATCTCCACCCCGACGACTAATGTCAATCATAAAGTTAATAAGCAAATAATTGTTGTACCTGTAGACATTAACCGCCAAAGCATATTAAGAGAAAGAGAGAGAGGGGTGATAGCACAATGAACGTCGCATATTGGACGTGGAAACTGGGCTAAGGGTGGCAGTATTCGATTGAGATACGTAATATTCAATGAAGCATGTCGTGCCAACTCTGTGTATGCGAACTCATATCAAAGTGCTAGCGCGTCAATAAAGTTCTCCATATATATATATATATATATATTATATATATATATATATATGCAGAAGAATAACTTCGGTTGCCGCAAGGTTATAAATATGAAAGTAGATGCGCTTTCACATAACAACTGTTTATTGTGCCGACGTTTCGACAGGAACCCTGTCTTTTTCAAGGCATAATGCCTTGAAAAAGACAGGGTTCCTGTCGAAACGTCGGCACAATAAACAGTTGTTATGTGAAAGCGCATCTACTTTCATATAAATATATATATATATATATATATATATATATATATATATATATATATATATATATTGTTACGCAGCTGACGTATCAGCGGTTAGAAGACGACAACGAGGAAGTGGTCTGTCGGTTGTGCGTGCTGTCTTTCATCTTAGTCGACGCCATACGCATCAGTGTGAAAAGAGATTTTAAATAGACACGCCTCGTGTCATTTTTACGTAACATCTTTGTGGTGGACGTGCTGGGTACTTCCCCGTCTTCATCACGAAGCTCCGCAACGGTCGAATCATCATAGGTCCAACCATGTCATAGGTTGAACAACCATCGTCTTCGCCACCTGCCCCTACCGTGACTTCTACATACTTCGTTCTCCCTCCTGCTCGTGATCCCGGTGTATTTTCCGGTCAGGATGGCGTTGACGTCAACAAATGGATCAAGCGGTACGAACGGGTCAGTGCAAGCTATAGGTGGGACCCGACTCTTATGCTTGCCAAAGTGCTTTTTTACCTCGATTGCCCACCGCGAGTGTGATTCGAGACGCACAAGGTGGAGAATACGAGCTGGGCCTCCTTGAAGGAGAGTATCCGCGACCTTTTTGGCGACACCGTTGGGCGGCAGATCGCAGCGCGCAATCAACTGGCGGCTCGTGCACAGACGTCGACGGAGTCACACGTCGCGTACATTCACGACGTCATCGCCCTATGCCGCCACATTGACGAGCACATGAGTGAGTCTGAGAAAGTGGCCCATGTGCTGAAAGACATAGCAGACGACGCATTTAATCTTCTAGTTTACAACAACGTTGCCACCGTCGACGCCATCATTAAAGAGTGCCGGAGGTTCGAAGAAGCCAAGAGCCGCCGTATTACTCAGCGCTTCACCCGGCTGCCAACATGGCCGCAACCTCATTGTGTGAAGCCGCCCGCCATTCCCCCACGTAGGACAACGTCACACGCATTGTTCGTCGGGAAATCGAAGCCGCCTGTCCGGCTCCTCTTCAGCCACCCGTTTTCGCAACGCTCGCCTCTGACAACAAACAGCTGTCAGTGGCGTTATTACAAGCTGTGGTGAGGCAGGAGTTTGCGAACCTCGGCCTTCCATCAGCATGTGTCTTGACTCGCCCTGAAGTCCCGTCCTACTCCCGAGGACACGCTCGCCGTTCACCTCCAACAATGCCCTTCCGTAACCCTTCGGAATGGCGAACA